GGGGGGTTATTGAAGTAAAATAAATGTAAGGACTTTTATTTTAGCCACTTTAACTTGTACTATAATAAATTAAAACTAAACTAAATATATACAGACATACATAAACTACTAAAAGTGACAAAAACAAATACAATTAAAAAGAAAATATTAAAACAAAAAGCTGATTCAAGACAATAATAAAAATAGTCTCTCAATACTAATATGAGACTGATTGGAGAAGAGATTGATGTGGTCAGGACATTTTTCAAAACATCTCTTCTTTTGTTGCAGAACAGACAAAGTCAAATGGGTGAGTAAATAGTGACTGAATCTTCATTTTTGTATGAACAATACCTTTACCATATAAATGTCTTTAAAATGTTTACGTGAACTGCTATAGAGTGCGGACGCATCAGGCCTTCTCTTCCTCTCACCTCTTTTCACTTGTGTCTCGCGACTTTATTTTTATTTACATTTATCATTTATTTTTCAAAGTGAATTTTCTTAAGTTTACCTTTTTTTACATTTTATTTTTATGAAAATAGCATAAAAACAGTACAACAAAAATGAAAATATATTAATTTCATTCACATTAATGATTTTTTTTTTTGCATTTAAGTCATGAGAGTAATGAAAATAATGTCACAATGCAAAATAAATATATAAATAAAAATAAGCTTCAAGTAAACTTGATTTTGGCTTGAAATATGACCCAGACATGTTCTTTAGCAGGTTGAAAAGATTCAGTACATTTTCAAAAGTCCATCACACAAACTAACAATTCAAAGTCACTCTTTAAACTGCTTCACCAGGATAAAGAAGCTCAGGGCCCAAAAGGGTCATTGGTACCAGTCAGCATGTGTGTGTGTGTGTGTGTGTGTGTGTGTGCGAAAGTCATACCATTTCAACCTGCCGAGGGTCCAGCTGAGTCGGTTCTGTTGCCGGGACGGCGAACTGGATTTTCCTCCTTTCTTTGGGTTCCACGGGGCCCTCGGAGGGACTCGAGGGATCCATGATGTGCTTTGGTCCTCTGTCAGTCTCACAAATATTACTGGAATCTACCTATGCCTGTCTCAACATACATATGCACACACACGTGGTGTCCTCCAGGCAGCTTTCTTCAGTGCTCGTGGAGTTGTCTCCTCTCTCCTTGACTCTGATAGTAGTCTTCTGTGATTTTTTTCTCTGTCGAGCCTCTCAGATATACAGGCGGCCTCTTTTTTCCTTTCTCTTATCAGTGTGACCTCTGGTTTTCTCCCTCTCACAGTGTTTGGAGTCGGTGTGGGCGTCCTTATATTAGCCGGGAGGAGGGAGAGAGGCGGAGCTCAGAGAGAGGATGGTACACTAGAGTCTTTTAGCGGGGTGTGCTGACGTTGATTTCTAATCAGAAAAAAAAAGATAATCTCATCCAGCTGGCTGAGCCTCTTTTGGCCTCTATTTGTGAATAGGAGATTAATAGACAGCGAGAGAAATATAGAGAGAGAGGGCAATAACTCATGTCAGCAACCAATTTCAATGTATACTTCAGTTTTACACATCTAAATAGACGTGTTGACGTTGAAAATCATCAGGAGTGACATTGATCTTATGTTTTGTGCAGCATCAATAACTTGTCCAACTACAGTGGCTCTGATTTAAAGGGATAGTTCACCCAAAAATGAAAATCCTGTCATTATTTACTCACCCTCATGTCACTTTAAAACTGTATGACTTTCTTTATTCTGTAGAATACAAAAGAAGATAACTTGGATTATATTTAATATGCCAATCAGATATTTTAAGTGACTTGTGTCTAAGTACTTTTTGGACCACCATTTGTATAAAATGCATCTGAAACCCAATATAAATAATGTTCGGCCTGTTGTGAGTATAAATGATGGTTTTCAAATAATTCTGTAATACTGTAACATATACAAAGGGACGTATCTCAGTTCAATAGATTTAAGAGTCAAAAATCAGGGGACATTCAGTGCTATTAATTTTTTACAAATTATTTTTGTTAATTGAAATAAAGCTGAAGTAAAATAATAGAAACATTAGATAAAAAAACGTAAATTAGAAATGTTGCCTTTACATCTAACTAAAATAAAGTTGAAGTAGTAAAATTACTCAAATTAAAATAAAATGGAAATAAAAAATAAATAAAAAGAAA